CCCTAGGAGAGTTAAAAGGAAACCTTGAAGGAATTAAGGATCTTCTACTTAATAAAAAATTTATACCTTTCCCTCCAAGGCCAACGATTTTATTTGAAGACACAATTGAATACCAAACAGAAATGCAAATCATAAATTGTGAAGAGTTTCCAGCAAAAGATGGTTTTGAAAATAATGAGCAATTAAACATAATTCCCAGAGGAATTTTAATTTATCACAAATTGTGGAACTATGGAAACAAATTGGTTACTCTGATATATGTATGGATGTCAATAATTTGGTATTACAAGACTCTTTGTTAATTCTATATCCAAATTCAAAAAATGAAGATTGTGTCTCCCCAACCATAAATGATTTTGTTGTGCGCATACAACAATTTATCAAGGTTGGATTCAAATTAACAAAATCTGTTATGGCAGATATTTTATTCCTCTATGAACAAGATCTTACCAAAATTGGAGAAACACTTATAGAAGCATTCCAAATAATAAGGAACCAACCAAAAATCGAAATCATTGGATGTTGCATTGTGGATGCTATTAAAATCAATAGAAATTCAAAAAAATATCAAGTTTTAGATTTTCTTAAGATGCAACTCGAAGAAAATGATTTAGAACCTGTTTATCTTAGAGCCCTAGTTTACCATTATTTTAATGATACTACTTGGAACAAAATCAAATTTTCCAAACTTGACAACAAAAAAATAATCAAAGAATCTATTAATTATTACTATACTAATGATTATGAATATCATTCACATGATATAAGAACATTAAAATTAAGTGGCAATATATACAAATGGGTACTAAAAAATTTCAATCCTGATTCAATTATTACAAGGTTATTTTTCAATGATATAGTTATATCCAAGACTTGGATTGATAGAGAATTGTTGCTTCATCCTGAAAGACAAATACCAGAACAAATGACCAGTTGTACATTTGAACTGATCATATTTGTTTACAATGAATTTTGTAAAAATAATGTTCCATTTGAATTGGAGCATTTAAACTTATTAAAGAAATCAAATAATCCTACAACTTTAGCACCATTCTTTGAAGGTTTCTTACCACAAATTTTTAATATTAACCCAACATTTGATTATCACAATGTCAATAATAATATCAAAGAAAGAGGGTCAAAAATTGAAGAAAAAACAAAATTCTGGTTTATTGAATTGAAAGAGATTCATGATCAAGTTAATTCACAATTTAATGTCACCACCACACATAATAATGATCAGTTTACTATGAATTTCCAAATTTGCATGAAAAATTTTTGGGATAGAATTGTGTTAGAAACTGATTGCATTAGTAAATTTGAATCTAAAAAAAGAAAATATGCATTGAATAATGAAAAAGGTGGATCAAAAGTTCAAAAAAGCAGTTAAGATGGGGTAATTGGATTGTAAATCAAGATGAAAATAATTGGAAGCTTGAAGGAAGCATTACTTTTACATATTATTATTATTTTTATTATTATATTTAAGATAACAAATTTATATTTATTTAAGATAACACACACATTTATTTTTATTATTATATTTAAGATAACACATTTATATTTATTTAAGATAATACATTTATATTTATTTAATATATTTATTGTTTATTTATTATACTTATTATATTATGCATTTCCTGTGCAATTCATTGCAGAGTATCAAAAGTTACTGAACAAGCTGTCACATGATGTAGGGGTTAATAAAATTGAAATCAATTCAATAGTATAATTATATCCAAGGCATAAATTGATAGAGAATTGTTACTTCATTCTGAAAATGATCAGTTGTGGATTTGAACTGATCATATTTACTTGCAACGAATTTTGTAAAAATAATGTTCTATTTGAATTGGTACATTTGCCCTATAAAAAATAAAATACGGAAAAGATACGGAATAAACCGTATGGAAAATACGGAATTTTAAATAATAAACAACACGTATGGAAAGTACGGGAATATGCAAACTTTCGTATCAATTTCCGTATCAAAAGTACGGAACCAGTACGGAATTGACACGGAATTGATACTGAATCGATACTGAACAAACGTATTTTAGTTAATGGTAAAACGCGTTTTAATCGATGGTAAAACGCGTTTTAATTAATGGTAAAACATGTTTTAATTACTGAAATCATACAGAAAATTATAATGGATTTAAAATAAAAAAATTTTTTTTTTGAAAAATACAAGTAAAAAATGCAAAAAACAGTATGAATTACAACATGAAGTCGAAATTAAAGCCCAAAAGTTTGAAACACTTTTTAACTTGAGAGGCCAAAAGTCAAATTAAAAGTCAATATGGTCAAAATTAATCAAAAACTTTAAATTACCATAACTTGGTCAATATCTGGCTGTTTTGGTTTATCATTCGAATTCTCTTGATAAGATGTCTAGTCTAATTCATAAAATTCATATCACTGATTAGTGTGTTATTTTTATTATGCTATGAATATTAAAATACCATTATTTGAATCACCTTTATGACAATAAGCCGTGTTCATTAAAGTTGGATCACTGGATCTCATGTGATATGACATAATTTCAACTTCATGTACAGTATGATGTACAAAACGATTAATAATCAAATATGAGATTGTAGTCTTTACCTCATATTTATCTGCCAACTCTGTAATTGAAGCTTGATTTTGGATATATTGGATCATCTAAAAATATAACAAGATAGTATGTAATAAAAAAACAATAAAATATAACTCCAAGTATCAATTTTTGACTAAATTAAATCATCTTAAGAATAATAATAACAACAACAACAACAACAACATCAATATGCAATTAATAATAATATCACGAAAAAATGATTTAATAAAACAATTAAATATAAAAAATGCAATTTTGTCACAACTCCAATATTTTTGTTTGATTTTTGATCAAATTAAATTATCTAAGAATAAGTAATAATATTGTGTAAAAATGATTTAAATATAAAAAACACAATATCCACCACATATTTATTCACCAACTCCAAGTTATCATCTGATTAGAGTATATTAAATATGAAAAATAATCTTAATACAGTGCTTAATGTGTTAAACCATCGAATCTATCTAATATACAGGTGGATCTTTCAATTGAAGACGAATCTTTCTATTAGTAATATTATGTTGTAATATTATAATTATACCACTACCATATATTTCTTTGTCTATTTCGAGGAAAGTTAAAAATAGTTGTCCTCTGCTTTTGCTGATTCCTAAAAAGCTCTCTAATAGAGTTATCTTACCATTACTACATAATCCCTGTAATTTTTAAACATAAAAAAATAAAAATAAAAATAATAAAAATCATTTAGCATTTTAAATGACAAATAAATAATTTATAAAAAATTTATTTATTATATATTTTAAAATGTCTTACTCATCTCATCAAAATTTTGAAAATATTATAAAATCATTTAAAGATATAACTGACTTGTCTGAAAGTTTAATTCAACAAGTTGGATCAAGTGATTTTATTTCAGAATATAATTTAGCTGAACTAGGATTAGAAGATTATGAGCCGAATGAATTAGTTCTTAATACTCATTTTTTAATAATAAAAGTAATTGTTCCTGTCGTAGTAAAAAAATTTGCTTTGAAGAGATTGGATTTAATAAATTTTTTGAAAGATATTTAGAAATGAAAGGATTAGAAGATGAAAAAAAGATCTTTGTAATAATAAAATAAAAATGGGACAAAATAAAATATAGGATCACAGTTGCTTTTATAGATTCAATTCAAAATAATTTTACACAAAATATTTATTCTATGTAATTAAAGGTATCTTTTACATGTTTATAAAACAAAAAATTTCAATTTTTACTTTTGTCAAATAGTCAAATGGCACTTGGTGAGAAAATATCTTTAGTTAGTACTTTCGTCACATCAATGCAAAATCTCATCATATATATACATATACATCATTGCTAAGGTTGCTTGCCGTAATCTCTTAATGATTGGTGAAACTCTGCTGAATGATTTCTGGAGGAGTTTCAACAAGCAATCATGATCATTATCCACAACAGGAATAAGTATATACATATAGTCGGATGTATCCTATATTTTGGAGCTGCTAATCTGTCAATTTTAGACCCTACAGACAGATTTATAAACTAAAGCTTTATCCCTGGAATGAAAAAGATAAAGGTCTGATCTACTCGAAAATTACATGGAATAATAAATTATTTTAACAAATAAAAAGAATGAAAAAATCATAAAAAAACCTGGTTATATATTTTTTAAAATATTTTATTATTAACAAGATCATATATACAACAAAATAATTGACAAATGATTGGTTCTAACTTTTCTATTATAATTGAAGGTCAAACCCCAATATATGTTTCCTCGAGCAACTTTGAGGACTTACCAAATGTATTTATCTGTTTAAGCTTAGCCGAATTCCAGAATAAAGTACATAGAAATGATAGAACAGGTAAGAAAATAGGAAAAAACCTGATATTATGGCCTTAGAAAGGTGTAATGGGAAATTACTGGAAAGTTCCCATATTGTTTCTAGCAGCAACTAAAAAATCGGATGATGAAGTAAAATCATGAAGAGAATTATTAGATGGGATTAGTTATATAATTTCAGCATGTAAACCCGTTCTAATCAGTTTGGTGTGGTCGGGTTCCAAATAGCTGGTGAAAAGATATATTTAAATGTTCTTGTAAACGACGCAAGTGGGATATCAAGATACTTCCACCTAGATCTTGCTGAAATTCCTTTAACCCCGAAGTTTCATTGCGTACAAAACCTCTCATAATTTTACTATTGACCCTAAGAAATATTATAATTGTGAATAGGGACTTGCAATGGATCAGCAATATCCCATCCACCTCGAATTGTATTCATTCAAGCCCCACTATTTCATCACCATCTTCACTCAAACCACGAAAAAAAAGCTCCACTCAATTTGAACATGAACAAAATTAGAGTTTCTTCACGAATATTCTGTAGTTTATCTTTATTTATTTTCCCTATATCAATAAAGCTATACCCTGGGGTTCGATTTCGCATACATAATCGTGTTTACTTTTGCATATGTATTTCTGGAATTTGTCTCGATGTATTAATATTGATATATACTAACCTGTATATGATCGAGAATTTTTTTTGTCTATGTAAAAAACAATGGCAAACACGCAACCCAAAATTGATTTATTAGAAAAGAATTCAAACTTGTAGCCGAGATTGCTGAATTTAAAAAGAAGTATACTGAAACTTTTTTAATTTTTTTGATACTCACACAATCCACACCGCACCGCATACATATGTTAAAAACCATAAACCCATTTATTATTTTTAAAGAACAAAGTACAGAATATATATGATAAAAAAAAATTATAAAATAGACCACAAATAAATAAATAAATGAAAAAAAAAAAAAATAATCAAATAAAAGATATAACAAAATGATTTAATAACTATAATCATGACTTTTATTACCAACAATAAGTTTAGTAACTTTATTAATGTTAGCACCAAGATGGTAGGTGAACACATCCGCAGTTCCACCATAATTTTTGCCTACAACAGTGAGATCATAATCCATATATAAAGTATATGAAACATCAATATTTTTCAAATAAAACAAAAGAGATCCTTTCATTAAAAACAAGTTTACGCTAAGCTCGACCCCTTTTCCGAAATCTCCAGAGATTTCTCCTATTACAACGTTAGCAACCGCCACATTAACATCAAATTTGCAATCATTTAAAGTTGGACCTACTACTAATGTTCCCCCCAGTTTAATAAGACCGAGAAGTGAAGTATCGAATGCAATGGTAATGCCATCGGACTCAAGGTTCGCATCACTGTTAACGATGGACTGTTCAACATTGAAGTGGTTGTCAGCAATTTTTGATATGCGAACATCTGGTAGCGGTTTTGATATGGTTGAAGTTCCAAATAACAGTAAGAATACTGGTAAAAAATAAGTGTTATGGAGTTTTTAGTTTTTGACAAAGTGAAACTTCATATTGATAGAAGCATTCCATTTTGTAATCATTATGCAACTCAATTATACGTACCGGAAAACGTCACCAAAGCTTTGATTAGTGTTGGTTTCCAAAACTATTTTGACATATCAAAACTAGTCTAAGATTAAAGCATAGTTTCAAAACCTATGTCAA